GGGAATGGAGACGGAGTGGGCGCACAGCAAAAGGGAAAAAAAAGAAAAGCGAGAAGTACTATACCAATAAAGGGAAGGAAATAAGTAAAAAAAGAGAAAAGGAAAGGAGAAAACGAGAGGTTAATAGATTGTTTTTGGAGAGGAAGAAGGGATAGGGATATGGGAATTTTAGAGATAAGAAATGGAGAAAGGATGTAAATGAGAGAGTGTCAAAAAATTGGAGCGTAGAATTAGAGATTGAAATAGTGGAAGAGAGCGCAAGTAATAGAAGACGGGCAAGTGTTTTTGGTCGTAGAGGCGTGGGTTGTTTCGCGGATAGTGAAAAGAAAGGTCCAGGGGTACTTACCCTGCTGTGCCAAAAGGCGACCGAGTTATCTCGCAGCTCTATTACGAGATCCTTTGTACGGTGCCGGAAGACCTTTACCGGATTCCCTCCTCCGCTCTCTCCAGACGCGTGGAGAACCCTCGGCCACCCACAGGGGAAGTACATTTGCCAGTTACACTGCTGGACTGCAAAGTCTTGGCATAGATCTCTTCCCCTAAAGTTCAAAGTTCAACAGTCCCAAATTTGCGCATGCGCATAGACGATGAGCGTCCGGTGGTGGTGTCGTAAAAAATCGGGTTGTCTTTTCTCCTTCTTTCTGCAGTTGTCATCTTCATTAACTACCAGTACTGCAAGGTAAGAGCCGGGGTAAATGGGGGAAAAGATCTGTCTGAAATTCGCAGTATAAGCTACGCGAGCAACCGTCCGGAAAGAGATGATCCGTCCACAACCACCTCCCCGCGTCCACTGTCACGAAAATATGAATCCACTGCACCGATTTCGTCTTCCTCTCAACAGTCGTTATCGTACAACGCAGTTGAGGACGATGATTGCCCTGCGAACGGCGGGGGCTTTACGCTCGCTCTCTCATTCCACGACCAGCAAACCTGGGCATTTGGTAACCTTCTCTCCCTGCAGAACTGGGCCGCCAGCCTTAACCTGACAGTCCTCCAGCCGTTCCTCGTCTCTACGAATCTCGGGGTCCCTCTGCGGGGGAAAGAGCTGCAGTCTCAGTCCGCTCTACCGCTGAGTGCTCTCTATGACATGGAGTATTGGAACAATGATGGAAAACATAAGGGATATTCTCTCGCTGTTCCATGGGACTGTTTCCTCAGGAGAGCACCGAGGAGACTGGTGCTAGTGCACACAGATGTGGTGGTGCGCACGTGCGAAACTGAACAACTTCGTTCTCGAGCACAATTTCTGACGGGTTTGCTGGGGTTTATAGTGACGCGAGAGTTTTGCCTCGCAAAGGTGTCCACCCCCACAAAGCATTTGTCGGTGGATGAATTCAACAGGAAGATATTGGGAAATGTCTCTGCTCGCGAGGTGACTGTAGTTTTCAGTGAGTGGAGTCAAAACAGAATTGGGTCTCTGTTGGATCTCGACACTAGCTGCCCACATCCCCATGGCTCTCTCCAGAACACTACCTCTCAGACCTTCTAAAACTATCACGAGAGATGCTGACAACTACATATCTCAATTCCTTCACGATGGACACTTGTGGCTGTTTTATTTCGGTCTGAATGGTTGACAATGTTCACCAGCCTGTCCGTGTTCAATGAGACACTCCACCAGTGCCTTGCTAAAACTCTCAACTATATCCAGAGGGCTAAAGAAAAAACTGGCAGCGAAGCAGTGTTTTTAGGTCTAGACGTTGGTAAGTACGGCAGTGCAACTATCGAACGGGAGAAAGGGGACTTGGCTCGAGAGATATTTGACAAGATGCTGCTACCCTTGACCCAGTTCCAATCTTTTTCCACGTGGGAGCAGAGTTTTGAATCAGTCATTCAATATTCCGTGCCGGGTTACGTGGCTCTCGTCCAGAGAACGGTCGCTGTTAGAGCGAACTGCCTCCTGCTAATGGGCTCTGGTTCATTTCTGAAACAGGCCATGAATCAGTACACGACTCGCTCCCAGCTCAAACACTGCTACCTCGAAACTGACGGAAAATGCAATGTTTTTAAACGAGTTAATTTGTAATTAACACACAAAAACCAGCCACTCATCTGAACCACACTATACTGAATTCATCACAATTATCATGGATTGGATCATTGCGTTTGCTGTTGTGCGTTTTGTTTAATCCATTTTTCAGTGATTTCTCTCAGTTGAGTGATGACAGACTTTGGGTCTGGACTTTTGACCACCGCACTTCCCGACACAATCATGTTGGCTCCAGCCTACATTTGGACAGACAGACAATGCGAGAAAGAGAGAGCTCTTGTAAGCTGATGATGATAGACAGGGGAAGACAGCATACTTCAGCAGCAGTCGCAATGGTAGAAAGACCTACTCCTCCATCAACCTCTATGTCCAGTCCAGGATGGTTCCTCCTGAGATGCTTCACCTATTGAATATCACCATGTATATACCTGAAAACCAGCCATTTTTGCCGCTTTTCTTCATCAGCTCTGACCTTTGGCATCATGTCAGCCATGAACTTTTGACCTCCAAAGCCAGGTTCCACTGTCATTATGAGGACCATGTCCACATCAGACACGTACGGCAAGACTTTCTCCACTGGTGTCCCTGGCTTGATACCTATCCCAACCTTTAATAGATATAAACACTCTATAGCTATATACCCTCAACTGTATTGCTAAAGACTTTATTATAGACTCACCTTCAACCACATCAAGTATTGCTTACCTTCATTCCTCTGTTCCTGATCTGTTTTATCAGGTCACGAGGATTTTCTGCAATTACAGAGATATTTGCCATGCGATGAACAACTCTCTGTCTCCAGCTCACCAGTTGCTTCGAGATGAAAGGTGTATTGGTTTGCCCCTGCGTCTGCCATCTCGTCGACCCACTTGCAAAAGACATGGAAATAAAACACCGTGGGGATTAACAGTGGCACATTACCTTTTCAGGCTCGGATACCATCATATGCAGATCTAGGGAATAAACAATGGAAGCTATATATACTTTTTATTTCCCCTGGCTTACCGAAAAATACTCCAGGCTGTTTCTTTCTAAGCCACTTTACCATTGTGGCTCCAAACGTGATGTTGGGCACAAAATGTCTATAATAATACAGAGAGAACAGGTATATATAGGTAGTGTAGACACTGGTAGAGGTGTATGGTATCACGATTCCTATGCCAATGCTGACCTTCAAAATAAATAGGACATCTCTCTATCAAGGACACTAGGTTCTGCCCCATACTATTAAATGCAGTACATTACACCCGAGCCTCTGAATAAAGGACACTTTCTCTGTCCCCAAGGTGTCTCTTATTCAGAGGTTTCAGGTACAGCTACTTGCCCATCCATAACATCGAGATGGAGATAGTCAGCTCCTGCGTCCATCATCCGTTTACACTCATCTCCCAGACACGAGAGGTCGCCATTCAGAATGGAAGGTCCGATCTTGCAGGAACACGAGTATACGCCGCTGCTACTCATTCTTATGAGCTCAACTTGCAAGCCGTCATTTACTTCCGGTAAAAAAGGAAATGAAAACGGCAGGGGCTTATTCAGTGAGAGAGGTGTTAAACATTCCTACAAATTTAACCCTGTAGATGCGGTCCACACACGTGTGCAACCGAACAAAGATGTTTGGTGTTGTAAGCCTGACAGGAGCTCTACTGGCGTCTCTGAGAGCGACGAGCCGCTCCCCCAATCTACTGGCTCAACCTCAACACAAACTCGTAACGAAAGCGGGGATTTTAGCCGGCCTCTTATCGAGATCACGTGATGAGGGGACGAAGGCGCAGCAAAACCTAACAGAACTTTCGGGTCCCCTACTTGGGAGCTACACTGTGCCCACACCGAGTACTCTGTGGGAGGCTGTCCTGCTGTGGGCTGTACCAAAGAGGAGAACGTCTCACTCTAAGAAGAGGATGAGGATGGCACACAAGTACCTGAAACCCAAACACCACTACCAGACCTGCCCCAAGTGTGGCCAGCTGAGACTGCAGCACATGCTGTGTGGCTACTGCTTCAGAGAGACTATGAGACTGACTGCTGCACTCAGGAGACAGAGGGCGGAAGGAAACACAGCAGAACAAGGACAGGAACAAGAGGCACATTCTCCGCAGTTGCATGCATCTTCTGATGAAAGTCACTGACCCGATGCTGTCCTCTTTTGTGCGCATACGCTCATACGGCCAGGGTGCGGAACAAGAATTCCTGGCTTTGCTTATCAACTATATAGTGCGCATGCGCTGACTTATCGCTGAGAAAGCTCCGCCGCGAGATCGATGATGTCCTGTGGCGGAAAGCCTTTGCTGACAGCGTTGTGTAAGTAAACTTGTCCTCTTTTACCGCTTACGAACGTCTCCTTTCTCGCCCAGGTCTCTGGTGTTGGTTTGTGCTCCTGAACCCCTCGAGCGGTAGTTCCGGTTCTGGACTCGGCGACGACGGCTCGAGTGGAGACGGCGGTGGCCGTCTGGGGCCCGCCTGTCCCAATTGCCCCAGTGGCTTGGATGCTCACTGCCCCATAGACTACGAAAACAGGACCATCACGTGTAGTGTGGACCCGGCGTCTTGCGATCTCTCCCGGCGGTGTGCAGCGGGGCACGATTGCATCGTTCACTTTAACCTCCGGATGAACGACAGCAGATGGACATTTTCATCTCGCTGCTATCCCGACACTGTGAATGAGAAGTATTGTAAACTCCTACCAGCTTATAGAGTCAGCACCTCATTTCCTCCAAAGCAAGGTCTCATCTGTTACTGCAGCCAGGAATGCTCCTGGGATAAACCACAAACATACTTTCACCCCTACCCTCCTGAAATTGTCGCCACATCATCGTTGACTCCTTCATTGACTCCTTCATTTACTCCTACTCCATCTATCGCCAGTGACAGTGGTGAGTATACCCCTCAATCGTGACCTTATTCAAGATGATATCATGAAGAGTGCACTTGTAGTGGATTTGTGTATGTCTGGCAATGTGTTGTAGTTTGGCCAACTGCCCATTCAGCTCTCTGTGACTGTATCATAACGTGCCTCTATAACCAAACATTGAGTGGGCACCAGACACACATGTATGCAAATAATCAGACACTGGCTAATTCAATTACAAGGAATCCTTGATAAATGAGAATTTCCTTGGTTCTGCCAAATACTAATTACTTTTGAATAAGAGACACTTTAGGTCCCTTAATGAGATGTTTCACTTTTCTCAGTTGTACTGCATACAGCTGTTCCGACCACGCATGTGATAGCTGGCGTGGTTCTCGGAGTTCTACTGGTGCTAGTCATCGTATCAACAGTCTCAGTGTGTCTAGTATATCACTGGAGAAAGGCCAGACAGCTTCGTACGCAGCCACGATCTTCTAGGAGCTCTCGAGGGACCTGGTTTCACTGACGAAAAAGTGGAAGAGGAACCTCCGTTTCAACTGGGTCACCTCGTCAGTCGAGGTCGCTATGGATACGTGTACAGAACAGAGTACGAGGGAGAGCTGGTGGCCGTCAAAGTCTTCAGTTATCAGAACCGACTCTCCTGGGAAAACGAGAGGACACTGTTTGGAATGCAGTCAACGAAGCATCGGAATGTAATCGATTACATCGTCGGGGGGATGTGGGGTTCGGGATTCCAGCTCCAAATGTTTATCGTGACTCCGTTTTTTCCTCTCGGGTCCCTAAACCGGTTCCTGGCTCGTAACACCGTGTCGTGGGAACAGGCTTGTCGGGTTATTCACAGCGTATCGAGCGGCGTGGCTCACCTTCACTCAGAGTCCTACGTCACCTCCGGTGGTGTGTCTGTGGAAAAGTACGCCATTGCTCACCGAGATATAAAATCTGCTAACGTGCTGGTGAGGGGTGAGAATGGGGATTGCGTCATCTCTGATCTTGGATTCGCTATGATTCTGGACCCAAGCAGAGACGAGAAGGACATGGCTAACATGGGACAGGTTAGATACCTTCCACAAAGAAAAATAGTGTGCATGGATGGATGTGTGTTGATGCCAAAAGTGAGGGTATAGCAGAGCCACCTAGCATGTAGCTACCCCATTTTCTTGGTATTTTATATTTCTGGTTTGTTCCCCATTGCCACTCTATTATTTACTTGTCTTTGTCCCATCTACCACACTATTTGTTATTTCTCTTTTGCCAATCCATCCTTTGTCGTTCGTGACTCAGGTGGGTACCTACAGGTACATGGCTCCCGAGGTGTTGGATGCCAGGATCAGTCTCCAGGACATCCAGGCCTTCAAACAGATTGACATCTACTCCCTGGGACTGGTCATGTGGGAGGTCATCTGGAGATGCAACGTTCAGCAAGGTGAACCGACTCTATATCTCATACAGCAACACTTGGTTCTGCTCTACTATTGTTCTGCTCCATACTAATACATTATTGTTCTGCTCCATACCAATACATTATTGTTCTACTACATACCAATACATTATTGTTCTGCTCCATACTAATACATTATTGTTCTGCTACATACTAATACATTATTGTTCTGCTCTACATTATTGTTCTGCTCCATACCAATACATTATTGTTCTGCTACATACTAATACATTATTGTTCTGCTACATACTAATACATTATTGTTCTGCTACATACTTGCTTTGCTGACCAACTTACTAAGCAGAAAACACTTTCTCTACTCAGAGGTCTCATTGTAATTGGTGTTTCAGTGTTAAGTGAGAGAGGACTGAGTGTGTATATTATATCTATTATAGAGGAGAGTCCGAGGGGTTACCAGATGGCCTATGAAGACAGAGTGGGCCAGAGACCTGGCATCGATGCCATGAGGGACCTTGTCTGCACTCAGAAGACACGACCTCGCATCCTGCCTGCTTGGAGAAACCACCCTGTCAGTACGATACCACTGCACAGTCACTCACCTGAATACCATATTAGTGGCAGTTTGTAGGGAGACACACTTTCCGAAAATCTTTGCTGTTCGTGCGGTTTTTTCACCAATACTTTGGGACATAATGCAATCACACTCTTAGGCATAGTTCTTCCCAAAGGCTTTTGTTATGTACTCAGTGTACTTCACTCGGTCAAACTGTCTTCCTATGTTATTGTATATACCAGGGTCTCGATTCTCTGGTGATCACCATTGAAGAATGCTGGGACGAAGACCCTGAGGCCAGACTCTCCGCCAGTAACATCATCCTTCGCCTCAAGGAGCTCGTCGACGGAGGACCGTCTTCCCTAGCCAGTGACCACACCCCCTTACATTCCTTCCCACACCCACCGGTTGTCCCCGGCAACCTGGAGCAGTTTAGAGTCAGTGAGGCTCTAGAGTCCACGACTGATACAATTGGAACGACTGATTCGAGACCTCCTCCTTATGACAGTCGATGGAGCTACACTGCCCCTGGTGGTCCAGTCGGGGACGATGATGGTGGTAGTAGTGATGGTAGCACCTCTGTCACTATGGGGTTAAACTCCTCGGTCACCATGGGGTTAAACTTTGAAGAGACTACAGTCTGATGTAATTATACTCACATACTTTTATCAAGCAACAATCAACATCACATTGCAATGTACAGTTCACCTTTCAGTTGTTATAATAATACTTCACAGAAACAATGCAGAAACACAGCAGTTGCTTTACGGCGCAAATGGTCGGTTTATGGTTTTCATTTCTTCTTTGTCTTTTTTTCCCACTGGCTGGTCTTGTTCTTGACCAGCCCAATCTCAGGCAGTGAAGCTTTCTCCTTTGCCTTGTGGGGGCAGCACACACTTCATATAAGTTACCAAATGCAAGAGTGGGTTTACCCTCTGGAAGGCTCTGGTCTGGTAGTGCTCCGGAAGTTTCTCAGCATCAGCCTATACACAGAGTGGAAGAAGAAAGAGAGAAACAATGGGGATTATGCTATATAGTGGAAGAGCTTGTCTTGAAAGTTAGCTCCATATAGACCCGATTAAAATGTTTACCAGCATGTCCTTGACTTGGCTGTCGATGGTTTCCATAACATTCTTGGCCAGTCCAGCCTCCCTCTCTCTCGCTGTCAGTCTCTCCAGCAAGAACCACTGGTCTGAGAACGCCTCCTGTGACCACACACACACACACACAGTATTAGCTAAAAACTTGCAAAGAGTAAGAAGCACTGGACATGCCTGCAGTTCTCCCAACTGTTCCTCTATGTTCTGGATGACTCCGTCCAGTTCCGCAGTCTCAGGTCTCGGTACCATGTACTGGCTGTCGGGGTCCAGACTCGGCTTGGTGTTGTACGGGTCCAGGGCATTGGTGATGCTGTCCCACTTTGGCTCAACCTCAGGGAACTTCTCTGTCGTCTGCATGTGGTGTCATAGTGAGTAAGTATTGTGTCATAGTTTGTAAGTAAGCTGTGAAAGTGCAAGGAGAGTGTGCGTATTTACCTCGTCTTTGGGAGGTCTGTCCTTTGCATCAGCCTCTGCCTCCATCTCCTGCACTTGTTTTTGGAGCTCGGTGACTTGCTTGGAGAATTCCAACTTGTCCAGGTCTGATATCAGCTGTCACACGGAACACAAAGAGTATTCAGAGTAAAAACAGAGCTAAACACACTTGCCTTATCCTTCATGTCCTTGAACCCCAGTTGAGCTGCCTTGGCATCTTCGAAACGGTTGTAAGCCAATTGGAAAGCTTGACCAACAGTCGCTGCTATTTCAGACGCCTGCGCGGGATCAAGTATACACATTTGAACAGACACTCTTCTCAATGTGTATATATACCTCGGCGTCCATGGTCTCATAGACGTAGCAGATGGTGGGCTTGTCTTTCTTGGTGTGCTTGATGATGTAGGCAAATACGTTGTCATAGCGACGGTCTGCGGCACAATAGGATATTTGGTGAAGGGGGTGGTGGGTTAGAATCACCTGGAACACAAGCAAAACGACAATCAAGAGATGTTGCTTTAGAATTTATACTTTTCTCCCGACGTCTTTGATGTAGAGGGAGCGAGTGTTGATGCCAAGATCAACCACCTTCTTGGCCACTGCTCCTTTCCGTGCTTCACCAACTAGCTGTGGTATTGTGAGGTCCATGAGCTAATGGTGTAGCTACTGGGTCTGCCAATGGCGGCTTACCTGCAGACGGTCCACAACTTCTCGGATGAGGTTCGTTCCCTGCGACTGTGCCACTATCATGGATCCCAAGATCTGGCAAATGAGAAATAACTCTTGTTGACTAATGCAGAAGCTCTGATCACCTTGCAACGGTAGACAGCAGTGCCTTCCAGCAGCTTGCGTGGTGGGTGGACATACGGCTCTGGGAAAGAGAGTAAAGCTACCGAGTCCGGCGACAAGCTGTGCGTGGGCAACTCACTGCCGTCTTTGAAGTAAAGTCGAGAGCGGTCACCTCTCGCCTTAGCCTCCAAATGATCCTCGATGCCTTCCTGGAAACGCACCGTGTGTACAGGCTTTGCCTCCTTGGCGGGGGCCGGCATCCCCGTGTGGTCCACTTTTCTACTTGCAGCCATCCCTAGCTGGTGTCTGCTCAGCTACGCCCACTTTCTTGCCCCTACGTTTATCTTCGGATACTAGCCGGTAACGCGGTTGCGGAACGCACGTATACTCGTATCCGTGGTCCGTACACTGTCGGATAGTAGTCAAGATGGCGGACAAAGCAGGCGTGGGAACATTAGAGGAGCAGGCGCAGCAGAGACAGGCCAAGCTGAAAGCTCTAAGAGAGAAGAAGAGCGACCAGAAGAGCGTAAGTTAAACGCCGCCAAAATTACTTCAGTACGATAATTATTCCCATTTATTGCCCACCTACAGGGAACAGACGAAGGGTGCGTGAGTTGTAGCAGTATAATTATAGTGCAGCGTGAAAGAAATTAAATCGGTGGTATTTTCCAGCAAAAAGCCGAAGCTCAAGTTCAGGAGCTACAACCCACAAACTGAGGAGCTGAAGGAAAAGAAACTGCCGAAAGGAAGACCCGAAAATGGTCGGTGCTTTTGTTGAGTGATTTCTCGATCTCGAATTCTCTGACTGCAGTGGAGCCGCAGATCCAGGAGCAGCTGGAGGCAGCCAAGACCACTGACCTGGGGGACATCGTAAGTCCTCACACGTCCTAGAAATCTGAACCAGTGGTTTACTGAACTCTGTGTTGTATATTATGTAGAACCTGGCAAACCTGGCTCCAAAGAAGGTCGACTGGTAAGAGTTGGTTGAGGGGTGTGTGTATAGAGAGAAACAGGACAGTTTGACTGGCTGTATTGTGTGTGTGTGTGTGTGTGTGTGTGTGTGCGTGCAGGGATCTAAAGAGAGACATTGCAAAGAAGTTGGTCAAACTAGAGAGAAGAACGCAGAGAGCCATTGTGGAGTTGATTTGTTAGTTGTGTGTGTTGGGTTGATGTAGTGATTGGGTCAACACCCTGCTGCGTGCAGGTGAGCGACTGCAAGGTGAGGAGGAGAAGGAGGGAGATCTCGAATCAGCTGTGGCCACCACTGACCGTGAACAGCTCCCTGATGATGATTCAGATTAATTTCTCCCTCCCTCTCTCTCTCGTTCAATTCTTCCACTCTACTTGCACATGTTCTCATCTCACTTTCATCACTCTTCAACCAAATGTCATAGAGATTTTGATTATGAAATTGGTACAATAATTTTAGCACAGTTATACAGTACTTAAAACAGGTGCAGAATGGGCCGTGATGTATATACAATACCTGTACTGTTCAAAACCAAAACTAGAGGGAAAGAGAGTTAATTAACAGAGACATTGATTGTGTCTTCAAATAGTGCTATGACTAGTAGAACACTGAACCCCACTGCCAGCCCGAGGACCGACATTATCACCTGCAAGACCTTCTGTAGCCCCTCCTCTTTGGAATGAAGTAATTCTGGTAACTGGAGGTATACAGTGGAACCTCTGAATAAGCTACAAACTCAATGTGTACTGATGTTTTATAATTATGGGTCACACTTTATAGAGAGGTGTCGTTTATTCGGAGGGTCCTTTTCGGAGATTGCACTGTATACATGTCCCTGATTATTAGAAAACAGCGTCCTGACTCACCAGGTCAACAAGAGCAATATAGAGAAACTGTCCCGCTATCACCGCCAGCAACCATTCTTCGGATTCCTCCGAGTCCGTTCCTATGGCAACGCCGACAAAGAACCCGAGTACTGAGGTGAGAGCAGAGGCAAAGTTGAGGAAGAGAGCTTTGTACCACGACATTCCCGTGTGGAGGAGAATAGCATAGTCACCTGGGGTAGGAGAAGAAGAATGATTGAAGAAAAGAAGAGACAATATGAGTGAAGTAAAGGAATGAGAGTGGATGGGTGACAAGGGCCCAGACTGACTCAGTTCGTGAGGAATCTCATGGAAGAGGATGGCCATGGCGGTACTCAGGCCCAGACCGAGGCTCTGAGAGATGGCCACGCCCACTGCCAGACCGTCTGTCAAGTTGTGCATCCCGTCTCCAATGATAATGACCCATGCCAGCGGTTTTATAGAGGTTACAGGGCTCAGACAACCAGGCTACAGGAGGAACAATATTATCAATAAAACACAATGAGGACAAACTGCCTCTGTCAGTGACCCCATTTCAGTTGAAGGAGTTCAAAAGCCAACTCGGTACACTATATAGAAATGTGGAACCCCATACACAAGTGTGGCACCACCACAATTGATGGTCTTGACTATAAAAAAGAACAGCATGTTATGCCATGTCAATAGGTTGGAAAAAATGGTCAGCCCTATTTCTGTTTGAGGCCAAAAATATATATAAGGTTGAAAAAATGCCAACCTCTCATCTCTCTATTAATTTTCGTATTACCCGTGGATTGTTTAGTGCAAAAAAAAAACCTAGTTGAAAAAATATTTTTAAACGGCCAGCCCTTCATCTCTCCAGACAGACGTCTACGGACGCAGTGCTATGCCGAACTGTACGCTGCCCTTTGAGAAACATGGTTCAGTGGTAGATTTGTGGGTAAGGGGAGGAACCAGAGCTGTTCCCAGCCAATGCTCTGGACCACCTGACACTTTAGTGCGGGATCGGGATACGAACCGGGCACCTATGGTGTCAGTCCCCACGACTCTAACCACCTAGCCACTCGGGCTGGCCTGGAGATGTGATGAGATGACAAAACGTTCCATATATACCAACACTCCTATTACATCATGTAAAAAAGGCGTGTACACACCCGGGATCGAACCAGGGACCTCACGATCAAGAGAGGGGTGCTTATCCATCAGACCCCGGCCACCCACGCTGTGTTTTTACGAAAATCGCCAGTTTTAGCGCCGAACCCGTTGTAGTTTTGGCGACCTATGTTGGCAGAAAACACGTGAACGGACACGTGTACAGTACAGTACAGCTAGACACACAAACCAACCTCGCTGCGCATGCGCGCCGAGGGTTATAACTGTACTGGCATAAAACTCACTGCGGTGTGGTAAGTAGTGTTGGCATCATTCCTGCCGACAGTGCCATAGTCATGTTCTGACAATGGTTTATCTCCCATAACCTCTGTCTTGTCGGAGGGAGGAGCCTCCTCCTTCCCCTCCCCACCAGGTCCCTCTGGTTGGCTCTTGTGGTTGAGGAGTAGGGATTCAGAGCTGAGCCTGGTGCTCTCCAGGAGCTGTCAGATACAGGAATACCGTACACCCTCTGATCGATGGTAATGAATAAAGGACACCTCTCTAAAGGTTTTTGCCCCATGCTAATATTGATTTACCACCTCTGAATACGAGACACCTCTTAAAAGGAAACTGTTGACATTCCCAGGTGTCCCTTATTCACAGTGCACTTTACAGGATTAGCAGTTTAATTGCACTAACTCCGTGGGAGTGGGTGTGGCCAAATCGGGCGGTGCAGCTGTGGAGGAGCAGTTCGAGGAGGAAGAAAGAGAGAGCACCTGCCAATACTGCACACATCTTCCACACCACATCTCTCTCGTCTATCTCTGCAAGGATGTACAGTATGTATGTACATTAGGTCATCCTTATTCCGATTAAGTCATTCTGGTGTACTCTCTAAGGATAAGTCAGTGCTCTATAAGCAGTGTAAGTAAGAATACTGAAACAACGGAATTGTACTGCAAACCTTTATGAATATCCCCACTGTCATGTGAATGTATACCAATTGCCTGCAAACATAAAGTTCTATTAACTATTATTAGACCAGAGGCTACTATTAGCTGACATTAGGGATGAGGTGAAGTAGAGCATCTGTCGTTAGAGCAGCTACACCCATGGCAATGAGGAGAGAGATGAGATGCTTGTAAACTAGAAGAAGGCGAGAGTTTTGCCGGATGAGAGGAACTATCACAACTCCCAGCAGAGATAGGAGGCTGATGATGAAGATCATTACAAACCCATACCCATAGGCTGTGTGTGAGAGAGAGACATGTGATTGTACAGGGAGGAGAAATTATATAGTGGAACCCGGCCTCTCTAAAGACACCCTGAGGACACCTCTCTTTTCTTTGCCCAAGAACAGTTCTTGTTAACCCCGACACCTCACTAGGTACCATTCGATTGGTGTCCAGATTAGAAAGTTCCACTGCTTTATACATGTGAAAATAGGGTGTTTGACAAGCACGAGGGCGGAGGGGAAATCCCTCACGTAGAGCACAATGCGTAATGCTCTCGCGCGGTTTCTGGTTATGCGCTAATATTAATCGTCGCCATATCGCGCATGCAAATTCTCTATTACGTAATTCATTCACAAACTCAAACTTGTCCCTGTGTGTCATAACCCACTTGATGCGTTCACACATACACTTCGAAAACTATACAGCTTTTGTGAGAACAGGAGGCCAACAAACTGGTTAACAAATTTCTCAAAAGAAGAGATGTAGTGAACAGTGTCAGTGCAAACAACACCTTCAGCCTGAGTGATGTAGACCGAGGTGGAGTTGGTGGTATTATTGGCCTCTGCCTGCAGTTCCCCATCCGCCAGTTGGAAATACTGCAGAGAGGATCCGCTGCATATGGCGAGTAGATGTGAGCAATTGACTCTGCACTCTCCATCGTCCGCTACTGCATATATAAGACAACACGTCATGAAACCGCTGGACCGTTGATGTCTCTATATATCAATGAATTTTGCACAGAGCTATCTCCGGAAACTACGTGCTCCGTGCTGTAACTTGCGCAATATTATCCAGCGATTTCGTATCTAAGGGACACTTACCGGTAGCAGTCACTGCATCGCACAGCTCACG